AACAAAAGCATTTGTTGTCACAGAAAACAATCGTCTGTCCAACAATATATAATCAAGTTGACAGCGTCTTTCCCCGTTGCGGTACGTCCACGATGTCTCGAAACTCTTGGAAAAGAAAGAATTGGCAATGAAGAGCTCTTCCACCGAGCATGTGTGTAATAATAGCGAGCCCCGGTCTGTTCTATCAATCATACAATTGTCGCCAATCACTCCGTCGTCGTCATCTTCCCGCCGTGCGCCAATCTCTGCGTTAAAGTCTCCAGCAATAACGATCTTATAGCCATTCCTCTGTGCATCCCGGCGTTCCCTGCGAATCTCATCATATATAGCGTCTACCTCATCATCGCTCTGTGCAGCGTGTGGCATGTACACAACTACGAAACGAACTCGACCCAGAGATAACACGCATACGTCCAAAGCCGCAATGCGGTTGGAGACGGCCTTGAACATCACGTGGTCCCACCGTCGATGCAACAGAAAGGCTACACCAGCGCTGCGAGGCGTCCCCCCGCTCCCAAACCAACGATGTCCATGTATCGTATCCCATGCTTCATTCGTGTCCTCTCTCCACGTCTCCGTAAAAGCAATGACATCCCAGCTGCGACCCTCAAGTTCGAGTAAGCATCGTTCCAAGCGCTCGTCAATCAACATCATAGAATGCACATTGTATGTGATAATGGTGAAACTGGTATTGGTCTGCATAGCTTCCCTGGGTGCTGCCACGTTGCCACTCGGGTTCCAGGGACCACGCAAGCGTAGTCTGTCCCCCTCCCGGCCGGAGCCCGCACGTTGTAAACATGAAGGGAAATCGCCATCTGCTCGAACATACTTTCCGAGTCCGCCGCCCGTACTCATAGTCCCCGAATTCGTATGCATGCCGGCCCCATGTTCCCGGCTCCTTGGGCTTGCTTCTGATAGTCAGGCTGGCTGGGGCTTCCCTTTGCCAAGCCCTTTGCTCTGCCTGATGTACGCATGTGCCAAGTCGGTCTGGCACTGCTGGATCAAGTCCTTGAGCTCTTGCGAGTCCTGCAGCTCCTTCCAGTCCTTCCACTCCTTACTCGGCCATTCGACCGTCAGAGCTCCTCCATGCACCTGCGCTTTGGCAACACTCACCCCGCCCACTTTTAAAATGGTGTTCTCCTCATCGATCGTGATGTTCCCTTTCTTAAACCCCCAACCGCCTAAGATTTTCTTGAGCTTAAAGAGGAGCTTGAGGGAGATACGTGCATGCAGGGGGCGGTCAATATTGCACCAAACTACGGCTTCCTTGAATGTAGGCTGCTTCCGCCGAAAAAGTTCGATTGCAGCATCAGCGGTCTTCCTGGAAGGAAACTGTGCAAACATGATATTCTCGAAATTCTCGCTCTTGATGTATGGGTTGATGATGCGTGGCAGCCCTGCGGTATTGAGCATGTGGTTCACCCATTGCTCCGCCTCCTCCACCGCGCCTGCACCCTTCAAGCCACCAAAGATGACCGGTTCTGGGTCGCCCGCAACGTGCACGCCGCCGGCAATCGTCGGACCCTCCTGCAAGATGCCCTTCACCAGCTCCGGCAACTCCTGCTTCGTAACCATGCTCTCCTCGAGACCTTTGACGGCGAGTGACGCCTGCTTCGCCTCTGTCTTGGCCTCAGCTGCCTCTGCCACCGCCCTTTCTACTTTACCTGTCATCCCATCCACTGTGCTTTGGACCCCGTCCATCTTATTCATCAGCATTCGTGCCCAGCTCGGCATTGGCGTCTCACGTTCGTCGTCGTCTTCCAACCCTTCTGCTTCCGTCCTCGCCGCCTTCTTGTCTGGGGCCTCAGGGTTGCTACCCGACGGTTTCAACTTCCTGCCCATCCCTCCTGCCGCACTCTCTTCTGACATCTTGCAGAGACAAGAATCAACAGTGATATCCAATGTGAGTAAGAGTGAGAAGGCTGAGTACAGTAAGCAGTATGCTTGACACAGTAAACAGTATGCTAAACAGTATGCTTAACAGTAAGCTAAAGCAGCTTGAGCTGGCTTGAGCCAAAATGGCTACATGGGGCCAACAAACGTGTGAGGGGTGTGCCCAGCCATGGTGGCCTTCGATGGAGTTCCCTTTGGGGCCACGAAAGATGTGACGGGTGTGCCGGCATGGGCACGGCGGTGCCATGCGAACGCAGCCACCGTGGCCTTCGATGGAGCTTCCTTTGGAGCCACGAAACGTGTGAAGGGTGTGCCGATATGGGCACGGTGGCGTGATGCGAACGCAGTCACTGGGGCCTTCCGCGGAACTCCGTATGGGGCCCTGAAACGTGTCAAGGGTGTGCCGGAGGGGATGCGGCGGTGCTGTGCGAACGCAGCTACTCGGCTGTCGGTGGAGCTCCCCATGGGGCCACAAAACGTGTGAGGAGTGTGCCGAAACAGATGCGGCGGTGCCATGCCAACATAGCTACTGAAGCCTTCGGTGGAGTTGCCTATGGGGCCACGAAGCGTGCAATGGGTGTGCCGAAATAGGCGCGGTGGGCCCACGCAGCCACTCGGGCCTTCGGTGGAGTTCCTCATGGGGCCACGAAACGCGTGAGGGATATACCGAAATGGGCCGAGGGCCCCAGTGGCAGTGTCCACATGCGCCCCCCCCCACTCACCACAGCGTTGCGTGCCCCCAGAGGGAGCTCCATCGCAGGCCCCAGCGGGAGGGTCCGCATACGCCCCCCCACCCAGCACAGCGCTTCGTGGCCCCATGAGGAGCCCCCCCGAAGGCTCCAGCGGCAGGATCCACACGAGCCCCCCCCCACCCCACCCAGCGCAGCGCTTCCCCCGCTCCACGGCCCCACAGGGAGCTCCACCGAAGGCCCCATTAGGAGAGTCCGCGGCCCCGCAGGGCGCTGCACGCGCCCCCCTCACCCACCCAGCACAGCGCTCCGCGGCCCCACAGGGGGCTCCACCGAAGGCCCCAGTGGGAGGGTCCGCCTGCGCCCCTCCCACCACACCCACCCAGCACAGCGCTTCGCGGCCCCATAGGAAGCTCCACCGGAGGCCCCAGTGGGAGGGTCCGCGTGCCCCCCTCCCACTCCGCGCAACGCTTCGCGGCTCCATGGGGAACTGCACCGAAAGCCCCAGCGGGTTGGTCAGCATGCGCACCCCCCACCCAGTCCACCGCTCCGTGGCCCCATCAGGAACTCCGCCTGATGCCCCAAAGGCCACGGCCGCATGCGTCTCCCCCACCGCCTCGTGGCCCGACCCGAAAGTTTCTTCCGTTTTGCGAAGCTCGGCTCCGCGCGGGCGCAGCGCAGCCGCATGACAGCAAGGTCGCTGCAATAAGGCAGTCACGCACGAGCCGCGCGGGGCTGGGTAGAAATCGCGCTCGGGCGCGCGGGCCGACAAGTCCGGCGCGCGTTCCAGACCACGGGGGGCAGACGAGGGGATCAGCCGAGAAAATGTTTCTTTGCTGGAGACCCCCAGCGTGAAGGTCATGTTCGGGCCCGTCGGACAGGGCCCGAAGGCAATTCTTTGCCCGACCCCCGCCCAAATTGGCCCCTGTTCGGTTGGCCGACACGAGCTGTCGGTTCGTCTGGGGAGCAAGCCCGATCGCTTCCTTCCGAGGACGCCCCACGCGGCTTGCTCACTCTGGGGTCTGCGCACCGCCTGGGACCCAAGCTCGTACGCTGGGAGAACCGAGGCCCGATCCCGGCCCGAAGGCGAGGGGGGGGCGCTGGGCCAACGATGCATCGGGCGGGCCCCCGCGGCCAGACAGGACGGCGCGCCGACCCTGCCCCAGCGCCGTCGCCCCCTCCACCCGCGCCCCCCGGAGAAGCCCCCGCCAGCCATCTTCAAGCTCGCGCCGGCCCAGAGGGTCACGCAAGGCACGCTGCAGTGCCAGAGGGTCTTTCGGGTCGGCGCACCAGGGAGCTCCACGGAGGACCCCACTGGCCGCAGCCGCATGCGTCTCCCCCACCCACCACGGCGCACCCCATCACGCGCTTCGTGGTCTCATAGGGAACTCGACCGAAAGCGGTACTCACAATGCGATACTCACAAGTACATATGGTTGAGTCATTCGGTTGGATAGTTGTTGTTGTTGTGTTGGCACGTGTTGCCACGTCGGCAACTTATGATAATAAGATGGTGGAATTGGCATGATATCTGCCTTGTCTGTTTTCAACATTGGACGGGTGCTGTACCACCGCTGCTGGACATTCACCATCCTTGGAATGGTTAGAGTACCCGCCACTTCTCGTATCAATCCGAGACTTGTGCTGCACTTCCTGCGCTGACGCTGCGGAAGAAGCCCAGCACGTGGGGAACGCGCTTGAAGTTGATCAGGACCGTGGGGTTCCACACTATTTGGTCGGCGGCGACCTGTCTCCAAGAAGCGCTCCAGGCATGGCGTGGAGCACACGGCCAGCGAAGGTGGCACCGAGGAAAAAGACAGAGGGGAGTGGAGGCGCACGGGGAGCGGAGGCGCCGCACTCAGCACGTGAGGTCCTTGATCCCGGGTGCCGGGAGCGCACGGCGAAGCGCAGGGCGTGCACGAGGAGGGTGGCAGCCCGCAAGGCTGGAATAGGGGGCCACATGCGAACCCTACCCCTACCCCCCTCAGAACTCGTGGGGGGTAGGGGTAGGGTTCGCATGTGGCGCGCTATGGAGCGCGGAGACCCGGGCCAGGTTCGCAGGCCAGAAGAGGACAGCCAGGGACACAGAGTGGGACGGCTCTCAACGAACGGCCTTTACGGCATGCCTGGCTGGCAGCTTGCTCCGGGACCTGCCGACTCGCTCATCTGCCGACCCCCACTCGGACGGTGCCTGCTGCGGCTGCCTGGGGCTGCTGTTGCCGCCCGCTGTAAGCGTGAACCTGGCGATTCCTCGCCTGCTTCGTGCACGTCACTGCGTTCACTTCCTCCTTCTCAGCCACCCTCCTCTCACTTCTACATCATCCTCTCTACTCCACTTCAATCCTCCATCCTCCTTTATTATCGTCATCGTCCTCCCTCCTCATCCGCCATCCTCCTTCTCCTCCTGATCCAGCCGACCTCTTGCACGTCCTGCTGGTCCGAGAAGTTGGAGATGCGGTCACTGAGGATCTTTGTGAGCTCCGCTGGGCTCATCTTCGCCGCAGTCCTTGGCGACCAGGACAATCCTCCACCTACTCATCATCGTCAATATGCTTTCCTCTTCCTCTTCCTCTTCCTCCTCCTCCTCCTCCTCCTTCTCCTCCTCCTCCTCCTCCCCCTCCTCCTCTATGTCACCGTCAATGGCTCCCCTCCTTTGGACTTTTCCCAGTCACGTACCTTTTGTGCAGGTTGCGGCGTGTAGACAACGGCCGCAATGAATTCGGGGCAAGCAAATGATCCTGCCACAAACTAACAGGCGCTGCGAATACGATATGCGATCTGGCCAACCCGCCTATCAATGAGCTTCCCCGTCGACGCCGGGCTTCAAGCCAGGGTGCGGCACCCAAACCTCGAGGTCCTTCTCCGGGGTCATCTTGATGATTCCAACGCTCCTCTCAGCGTCCCCGCGGATGGCGAACAACCCCGCGTCAAAGTGCGGACCGCACGTGAGCAGGTAAACGGCCAAGACTACAAGGTTCCAATCCGTTTCCTGCTTGTCCGCAGCAGTCCTCCACACGGCAGGCAGGCGACGCGTCCTGCAGCCACCCTGTCGCCGAAGCACCAAGACGTCTGCCTGGTTTCGCGGCTGCAGCGTGCCTCTCTGGACGTGGCACGGCCACTTGAATTTGTGCTGGCATCCGCTCAGGTCATCTTCAGTGAAGGTTGTAATAATCCATCATGAGCGTCATACGCGCCCTGCCTGGCAGCCACCAGCACTGGCCTTTGGGCTGTGAGGGCGCATGCACCATCCCATGAGTTGTCCGCCTACGCAGTGATTTGAATATGGTGCGATGACATGGTCCCGATTGCACCCCCGAGCAAGTAGGATTCGAGGAACTCTTCGAAGGAATGGTGCCATTGAGCTCGCACGCGTGATTGCCAGCAGACTCCGAGGTGTACGTCACGCAGGCACGCTTTAAGGAAAATGTTCCACGGTGCAGACTGCATTAAGCTTGAAACCTGCCAATTGGAAAAGTTAGAGATATATCCCGCTCACCACGTGAAGAAACCGACGTTTCGGCATCCGAGAGATGTACCCCTTCAAGGTCATCATCCCTCACATCTCAGATCGGGTAGGCCTTGTTCGGTCCTATGCAGATGCGACGCTTCACGAATCCTCATCGTCGGGAATACGATACTACAGCGATCTAAATTTGGCAAGAACGTCGTCCGACAACCTGAAATGGTCATCGCTGTCTACGCCGAGCCATTGAGTCAATGACAGGGTCGCGCACGAACTAAAACTTGCTCTGCAAGACTGATTGTGTTCTATTATGACGCGCAAACAGCGCATCTTGAGTCGGCAGCCAAACCAGTAGCCATGGCTGCTTTGGACGGTACTCCAGATTTCGTAATGAAGGGAGGGGGGTCTCATTTCGGGGGGGGTCTCTTCCAGGCTATCTTGGAGGGCCTGGGGGGTCTGGGGACGATGTTTTGGAGGGTTCTCCCACGGGGGAGGTCTGAAATGGCTTGTCTTGGAGGGTCCAGACCCCCTCCCTTTTATTACGAAATCTGGAGTGTCCTTGAGATAAGCTGCCCCTCGGGTATCGGTGTGCGCAAGACGGCCGACCATGGCAGGGAAGGAAGCTGCCGCGGGGCTGCTGGACCGACCGCCGCGGACAGAGCGCGTGCCACAGGCCTGCAGCGGGCCGCCCGAGCTGCGAGGCCAGCTCTCGAGAACGAGTAGTATGTCAGACCTGCATGGCATGGATCGACGAGCGCGTTCCACTACTCGTAAAGTAACTACTCGCAAATGGCCTGGATACATATGCCGCGGGGGGATATACGATGAACCTCGTCGAAGCAGACATCCGTTTTGCAGACGTCTGCGAGTAGGCACTTTGCGAGCAGCGGAACGAGCTGGGTGAATGGAGGAAGAGAGGCTGAAGAGGACGACGAGGCACGCAAAATCGGCAAAACAGCGCGCTGGAGCCTGAAAGCGGAGCGGACAGGAGGGCACGGAAAGGAGGACTGGCGGCGCCCACGAGGGGGGGGGGGCCTTCGAGAAAGCGGGTGGGGCTTCTCAGAAGCTGGGGGGCTGGAGGTTTCCAAGAATCAAGGGGCCCAAGGGCACACAAACAAATACATACAAATGACAGGATTCCTCATATTTTTCCATATTTTGGGGATTTTCGTCTTCCCCCCCACTGCCCATATTTTCCGTATTTTTTGGGGACTCGACGATAAATTGTGTCTGTGTGTTTTTCCCTTCTGAAAGAAGGCTTCCAAGAAGCCGGGCGTACTTCTGAGAGAACCCCATGCCTTCTCAAATCCTGGCCGCCTCTTTGGAGGCCCACACCGCTCGCGGCACCCCCTTGTGAGTTCGACCAAGAGGACGGGGGCGGACTCCAGTGTTGAGCCGTCGGTCGTCACAGGAAAGAAAGGCAACGAGGAGTCCGTCGTACATCGCGAGGTCGTCGTTTGCCCATGGCCAGCCGCCGAGGAGGCGAAGAAGAAGATGAACAACGACGAAGACGACGACAACGACGACGCCGACGACGACGACTAATACGACTACCACTACTACCAAGCACTACTACGTCACCGACCGACGACGACGACAACGACGACTACTACTACGTACCACTACGACTCAAGCAATGACGACGACGACGACGACGACGACGACGACGACGATGCCGACGACGACGATGACGACGCCGACGACGACGACGCCGACGCCGACGCCGCCGCCGACGACGACGACGACGATACCGACGCTGACGCCGCCGCCGACGACGACGCCGACGCCGACGCCGACGCCGTGCGCCCCACGCCTCCTCCCCCCTCCCCCCTTTGCTCCCCGGCCCCGCGAAGCGCGAGAGGTCTGGACCCATTCCTGGCGACCTGCTTTTTTGTTACTCTCCATCGCTCGGACGTCCATTTCCTGTGTTTTTTTCGGTTTCGTGCGTGGTTTCTTCGCGAAATGATGAAGGATGCTCCTCGATGACCCTCGCCGAGGAAAAAATGCACACGTCCGAGCGATGCCAAGGTTATTGCATCGCATCGCCGGCGGCACGAGAGCTGTCCGAAGTATACGGGGGCGTCTGTCCAGTCGCACACGTCGTTCGGAAGAGGTAGGCAAAAACATGACGCAGGAAGGCGGCTAAGGCGGCCTGGGTTCAGGCCCTCCCGGAGAATAACGGAACACAGCCAAAGCACAACGCTTCTTGAAGTAGGAAGGCGCTGGAAGTAGCCTGGGATCTGCGAATCCAAAACTACCTGCTTTCAACGACCGACATGTATCTTGGCGGTCCCGAGCACCCGTCGGGGCCCCCCAGGGGCAGAGCATCCTCCACCGTGCACTCAGGCACGGAGTGGGCGTGTCTTCGGGTCCCTGTCCTCAATCCCTGTCCTCGATCCTAAGTATTCTTTAAAAGGGCTCGGAGGCCTCCAGGTTTCCAGGCTTCCAAGTTTTGTCGCGTCTGCGTTTGCGGAGCGGCGCTCCGCGAATCAGGAGATCTTGATTGCTCGGTCCCCATTAGCGGAGCGGCGCTCGGCCGTCTGGCCTCAAACCGGGGGATCAGGATCGCCCTCGCTACGACTAGCGGAGCGGCGCTCCACGAATTGGCCTCAAAGCAAGGAAGTCCCGCTGGCTCGCTCCCGTTGCGGAGCGCGCTCTGCTAATGGGCTGAGACTCCTCAATCCTCCTCCTCCTCCTCCTCCTCCTCCTCCTCCTCCTCCTCCTTGTCCTCCTCCTCATCCAACTCCTCCTCCTCCTCCTCCTCATCATCATCATCATCACCACCACCACCACCACCACCACCACCACCACCATCATCATCATCATCATCATCATCATCATCATCATCATCATCAGCAGCAGCAGCAGCATCAGCATCATCATCATCATCATCATCATCATCAGCATCATCATCATCATCATCATCATCATCATCATCATCATCATCATCATCATCATCATCATCATCATCATCATCATCATCATCATCATCATCATCATCATCATCATCATCATCATCATCATCATCATCATCATCATCATCATCATCATCATCATCATCATCATCATCATCATCATCATCATCATCATCATCATCATCATCCATCATCATCATCATCATCGTATCATCCTTTTCCTTTTTCCTCCTTCTCATCCTGCTCCTCCTCCTCCTCCTCCTCCTCCTCCACATCATCATCATCATCATCATCATCATCATCATCATCATCATCATCATCATCATCATCATCATCATCATCCTCATCATCATCATCATCATCATCATCATCATCATCATCATCATCATCATCATCATCATCATCATCATGCTCCTCCACCTCCTACTACTACCCGCCCTCCTCCTCCTCCTCTTCCGCCTCCTCTTCCTCCTTTCCCTTCGTCGTTCGATATCCCTGAGGTGGTACCAGTGGGGTACCACTTGAAGCAGATTGCTTCTAGCCCACAACCCAAGTCGCAAGGATCCACGCCTGATAGGATCAATACGACTCAATGGATACCACTTCGGTACCACTTGAGTCCTCCGACCACGAACCCACGCCACGAAACCCCGAGCAGCATCCGAGGGTCCTCTGACCCAGAACCCAGGCACGGTGGCGGGGTGGGCCAAAGGCCATTAGACCTGAGCCGGCACGTAAACGGAAAGAGCGGACCAGAAACTTGCCCGAGAGGGCTCATGGCACCATTCGCTCTTGGGAGCTTTGGTGTGAAGAGCTTGTTTCTTCGCCGTCTCCTTTGTGGGCCCTGGTGTTCAGAGACTCCTACGTTGCCGTTCGCTCTTGGGAGCCTTGCTGCGATGAGCTTGTTACATCACCGCGCTTTGGGGAGCCTTGGTGTCAAGAGCTTGTTACGTCCCCGCTTATGGGAACCATGGTGTTATTGAGCATCTCTTGGACCTCGTGGAGGTTTTCTGGGGTCCCGTGTGGAGCTCATTTGGAACGTTTTGGGGGGCAGTTTTGGGCCGTCTCGGGGCCCTTTACGGTCGTCTTGGTGCGTTTTGGAAACCTTTGGCCGTTTGGGGGCTCTCA